GTTCCCCTTCCCCCTGGGTCCGGCCCCCCCGCGGGTTTTTTTTTTTATTTTCCTGTTTTGCCGCTCCGGCCGCCCCGCAGGTTTTTTTTTTTATTTTTCCTGTTTTGCCGCTCCGGCCGCACCGCAGGTTTTTTTTTTTTCCTCCTTTGCTTTTCCGCTCCGGCCGCGCCGCAGGGTTTTTTTTTTTTTTTTTTTCTGCTTTGCCGCTCCGGCCGCACTGCAGGTATTTTTTTTTTTTTCTTTTGGGGCGGCAAAAAAGCCAGAGCCGGCCCTGGCAGTTGCGCTGCTGTCGTGCTTTAATTAAGACACTCTATGCCGACAGGAGAGCTCTCTCCTGTTGGCGTAGTTAATCCACCTGCCTGAATGGTGGTAGCTATGTCAATGGGAGAAGCCCTCCCGCCAACATAGCACTGTCTACATGGGGGGTTAGGTCGATATAATGACATCGCTCAGAGGTATGGATTTTTCGCACTACTGAGGGTACATCTACACTACAGGGGGGAGTCGATTTAAAATACGCAAATTCAGCTACGTGAATAGCGTAGCTGAATTCGACGTATCGCAGCCGACTTACCCCACTGTGAGGACGGCGGCAAAATCGACTTCTGCGGCTTTCTGTCGACGGCGCTTACTCCCACTGGTGGAGTAAGAGCGTCGATTCGGGGATCGATTGTCGCGTCCCGACGGGACGCGATAAATTGATCCCCGAGAGGTCGATTTCTACCCGCCGATTCAGGCGGGTAGTGTAGACCTAGCCTGAGTGACATAGTTATACTGATATAGGTCTGTAGTGTAGACCAGACCTAAGAGATAGGAAACAATTTTCATCATAGCAAAGAATTAACAACAAGGTGCCTCAACATTCTGTAGGTCCAGTGTTGCTCATGATTTGGAAAGGGGAGAGAGCAGTGACATAGGAAAGCTTGTAGTTGATACAAATTTGTTTAGGTTACTCAGGTCCAAAGAGGATTGGGAGGAACTCCAGAGGAATCTAACCAAGCTAGGGGGAATGGATAACACAATGGCAATGAAGTTCAGTATTGAAAAGTATATTGGAGAGGAAAAATGAAATACTCATACTACTTACTGGGTTCTAAATTAACTATGTTAACTCAGGAAAGACATCTGAGCATCACTGTAGACAACTCCATGAAAACCTCTGCCCTACATGCAGCTGAAAAAGCAAACAAAATGTTACATTGCTGAGGAATAACATGGAAAATGTAATGGTGCATCTGCATCTGGAATACTGTGTGCAGTACTGGTCACCCATCTCAAAAAGAATATTGCAGAATTGGGGTTGAGGCAAGAGTAAAGAGACAAACGATTAGGAGCATGGAAAAACTCTCCTATGAAGAGAGGTGAAACAGAGTGGGATTCTTTATTTTAGAAAGGAGGTAAGGGGGCATGATCAAAGTATATAAATAATGAATAATATAGAGAACAAATGTTGGATTTCTGATCTCCTGGTCTCATAACACAAGAATGGGGGGTGGGGACATTAAATTATAAATTGAAAGGTGGAAAATTCAGAACCAATAAAAGGAAACACTTTTTCATGTAACAAGTAATTAACTCTGGAATTCATTGCCATGGGATGTCTTTGAAGCCAAAATCCTAGCAATATGAAAAAAGGGAATTGGACAATTATATGGATAACAAGGATATCCAAAGTTAATACTAAGAAATTTTGGAAAATATATTAAACTTCATGCTTCAGAGTTTAAGACAATCTGTAACTATTAAGGAGTAGGAGATTTAATGTGGAAGGGCAGATTATCACACAACTGATTACTGTGAAGTTTTTTGCACCTTCCTCTGAAGCATCTGATGCTGGCCATTGTCAGAGACAGGAGACTGGATGAGATGGACCATCGATCTGATCCAGTGAGGCAATTCCTATGTTAAAGAAATCAGTTTAACATCATTTCAAACTACTTCCTCTGTGTTATAGTTCTAGTCTTGTGTCCTTCATTTTGAGTTATCTCCTGCAGCAGTTGGGGCCCTATAGCTGCGTACTCTGCTTGTCTTGAATGTTGACTTTATTAATATGTATTCATAAAAACATTTTTCCATTCTAAAAAACAAAACCACAACATTGTACATGTGGTGAGCTAGTTTTAATATCATTTTTATATATATATAATCTTAAAATTCTACTTTCCTCTCTGATAAGGAGGCTAGTTTTTTTTTTTCTTTTTTTTTTGCTTTAATTGAAGGTGGTTTAAAGAATAATGGGTAAACTGTCAGTCATAGATGGACAAATGATGAGATAAATCCCAAAAGATACCATTAATTTGTTGAGCATGTTCATTTGCTGAATTCTCTTGTGTGTAGTCCAGAAGGCAAGGCCAGCCATCACTATCCATTCACCCGTTTCCCTCCTACCAGCTGGGACATGGCAGTTGGTGCAAATAATTTGAAGAAACGTTTCTGGTGTTAATCTGATATGCAGTATATTTTCTTACAAAAAATCTTCAGATCATGGTACTGTTTCAGTCAGATTTATTATAGTGCTAAATATTAATAGAAATTAAAAAGAATTGAATCAACAAACAGAATTATTTCCTTCTATTTATATTTTTAAGATGCTGTTGTCTTTTTTCCCTCCGGTATGCTATGCACAAGCCTTTGCTGAATAAGGTGCTGGTCCTGCAAAGAGGAAAGCATGTGCTTAACTGGACACACAGTGGGCCAGATCTTCAGTTTAGCTATGCCAGTTTACACCCGCTGAGGATCTGGCCCCAGGAGTGCCCTCCTACAGCATGTAAAGTTAAACCTGTG